TTATGCACAAACAATGAATCATGGAACACTTCATCTAAAACTAATGATGTAATGTATGGGGATTAACATAAGAATAAAAAAAAAAAGAAAAAAAACATTTCACAGTCTATTTAAAATTAATATTGTGCCACTTCATGCAAAATATGTATTGTTACATTTACATAAGTTATAAATCTCACAATACAATGTTAAAATATTTGCTTTAAACATTCATAAGTATTTTAAGAAATGGAGAAAAAAATGGTTTCTTATATTTATTCTTATATGTGCTATTTCTGGTGTTCTTCATTCTTCCTGAAGATCCAAATTTCTACCTGGTATGATTTCTTTTTGCTCTGAAAAAAACTTCCTTTAGCATTTCTTAAAGTGCAGATCCATTGTCCATGAGTTGTCTTAGATCTTGTTTATCCATAAATGTCTTTATTTACTTTTAAATGCTATCGTGCCCTTTTCTGGTTCCCACAAGACTTCAGGAAAAGTCTGCTTCACAAAAAGCCTGGTTACTGCTGCCTTGGGGAGCAGGGGGAGAAAAGCATCTGTGGGGGCAAAAAGCTTCGCCCAGAGAGGACCACAGCTAGAGGCGCAAGAAGTCCAGCAGAGATGGAGAATCACGGCAGCAGAAATTGAGAACAGAGATGATGCAAACTGTCCTTCTTTCGACATGGGAGCACCCCAAAGTTTCTGCAATCATGCACACACCTCCAAGCCTCTCATTTGGATGTTAGAGGGAAAGTAACCTCAGAAACGTGGAGCATTTGCGGGCATTCAGGTTACACAAAAGACAAGTTTAATTCAACCTGACCAGTATTATTAAGTGTGTAATGTGTACTTTCAGTCCTCTGGGCCTTCATTAAGACTTTTCAGAAATCTTACTTTTCAGCTAGGGAATGTGCAGACTCAGCAGAAAGGTTCCTTTCCCATTGGTCCGTGGGGTCAGCTGACTCCATGACTCCACCTGGGAAGTTGCTCACCAGCCAGAGGCTGCCAGATGTGCCCCATAAACAGGTAAACGTGTCAAAACAGAGAGAGCAGAGAAAAGCTTCCTCTCACCACCAGTGATCCTTGGGAAAGAACTTTTCCTGAGACACGTGTTGCTCGGCTCTCCAAAGCCGGGCATGTCTGGGGCGCGTGGTGTGGGAACTTCTTTCCAGCTTTCCCTGGGAAAGGGTCATGCACGTGCAGGGCTAGGGCCGGGGCGAGGCAGGAGGAGCACTAGCCTCAAGTGCCAAATTGAAGAGGGCGCCAAAAATCTCAGAACTCAAGATAAAGAACATTTGACTGCAATATTTTTCTTTAAAAAAAAATTAACGTGAATAAGCTCTATGATGAACAAAGTATTAAAATTTCAAATAAGACAGTGTGACGCTGCTCTTGAGTAATTCACATCATTTGCCATCTCCGGCCTGGCCCCACACACGCTGGGCCCTGTCTTTACTTAAAATGTTGGTGTTTCATTGGTCATGGATCTTTTTGCCTTACTCTTGATTTTAAAAAAATTCCATTAAAATGGCATTTATCTTGATTACTGTGGTTTTTGGCACTCCCTTAAATTTTGCATTCGCCTTACCCTAGTACCAGCCCTGAACATCTTTAAGAACCTCTTTAAAATCTCCCCGGCCACTCCTCCAGCCCATCAAAAGAAATCCCCCAACATACTTTGATGATGAGAAGGCATTTTTTCATATATAAATGTAAAAAGCTTACTGGCAACAGTAATAAGAGCCAAAGGAGGGATCTGCCTAAACTCCTGGCACATTCATTGAGCAGTTTTATAAACAGGAGTTCTACAAACTTCTAGATCGCAGGGTAAAAATTCATCAACTAAAATGATCTTACATTTCTTCACTTGAACATAAGAGACTAAGAACTAAGGAGGCTGAAAAAGACAAGAATTTGAGTATATTTTGTTACATGGGGTTATAATGTACATTAATGGATTATGTATTCATGGTTTCAATTGGATGGAATGATTAAATCTCAGCTCTGATACTTCATGGTGGAGTGTGGTCAGCATGGGTGCCATTCATAAAATACTGAATCCCTTTTACTTCGTCCCAATGCTTGTCAGTAAAGGCAACATGGAATAGCCGTGAGAACTCTAGATTGTGAATCCCAGTTAAGAAACGTATTACCGGGGCACCTGGGTGGCTCAGTCGTTAAGCGTCTGCCTTCGGCTCAGGTCATGATCCCAGGGTCCTGGGATCGAGTCCCACATCGGGCTCCCTGCT